GCCATTGTAAAACATGCTGGCTGCCAAGCACCTGAATTTTGATCCTGTGACCATGGCGATGCCATAACAGTTGTAAGGGTGAGGATTGGTTGTGAGTCAGTTTTTTTTCCAGTGCTGTTATAACTTTGAACAGTTGCTAAACAAATGATTGTAAGTTGAAGACTACCCGTGGTCCTTAATAGCCTTTTATCCAGTTCCCTTTTTTGGTAACACCACCTACTTAGATAACAGATAACAGATAATCAGAGTTGGAAGGAACCTTATAGGTCATCTAGTCCAACCCCCCGCCCAAGCAGGAGACCTTACACCATTTCTGACAAATGGCAATCCAATCTCTTCTTGAAAGTCTCAAGTGATGGCGCTCCCACAACTTCCAAGGGCAAGCTGTTCCATTAGTTCATTTTGTTGCTTGGAAGCCACTTTGGTGTAGTATTGTATTTAAAAGTGCCAGATCAGAAGCCAGGAGGCTGAGTTCTAGTCCTGCTTTAGGCAAAATGCCATTTCAGTGACTTGAGGTCAATCATCCTCTCTTAATCCTAGCAAAAAATGCAGCAATGGCAAACCACTTCTGAAATATTGGCGAGTAAACTGGAGGTAGTTGCCACTATTGACTGACTCAAAAGGGACATTAAAAATAGTTATTATTACAGTGGCCATACACAGGTTATAGGACCTTAGGGCTGACCTTAGGGACAACAGTGATGATGATTGCAAGATTGAAGCCACAGCAATAGCACTTAGACTTATAAGGCCCATCCTTACCGCTTCATAGTGCTTTACGGCCCTATCTAAAATGGATTACAGAGCCAGCATATTGCCCCCAACTATCTGGTTCTCATTTTACCGACCGCGGAAGGATGGAAGGCTGAGTCAATCTTGAGCCGGTCAGGATTGAACCCCGGGTATGTGGGCAGAGTTTGCCTGCAATACTGTATTCTAACCACCGTGCCACCATGGTTCATATCCCTCTCAATAAAAGGGGCAGAACTTTGACTACATAGCTGCAGCTCTCATAATTTTTGTCCCCGCCCCAATAGACACTCCTGGGAAGTCACCTACTGACCCTTTGCAAGATGAGTGAAGTATCCAAGGCAGGGGTCTCCAAACTTGGCAACTTTAAGATTTGTGGACTTCAACTCCCAGAATTCCTCAGCTAGTCATGCTGGCTAGGCAATTCTGGGAATTGAAGTCTACAAGTCTTAAAGTTGCCAAGTTTGGAGACTCCTGATCCAAGGGGTCTCCCAGAGATATTGAGAATGTTCATCTTAGACAGCATCTCAATCTGCTAGGCAGCAGATTCTTAGTTGGGTTTCCTTTTGGTTAAAGTGTGAAAATAAATGGGGGTGGCTTGTTTGAAGCTAGAGCTATGGGGAGAGGGGGAGGGGGAGAGTTTAGTGACACGTATTTCCTACAGTCACAACAGACAGTAAAGGAAATAGAGAGAGTGGGTCTCCTCCTTGGGGCTCTTCTTGACCACATAGTCACAGCCACATACACTATCTTGACTTCTTTGACTTCACTGGGGACATATGTAGCTCCAGATTCCAATGGCCAATTTCATCCTTTAACTATGTATTGTGTGGAAAAAGTTGATCAGGTTTTAGCATTAAGAGAGTGGAAGAAAAATGTCTGCTCTCACCTTCTCCAGTCTGACCTCTCTAATTTCTCTGCTTCCTGAATTTTTAGTTTTGCAGGTTTTTCTCACTGTGTAATTTCTCCTAGATCAGGGTTTTCCAACCTATGCAAACTTAAGATGTGTGGACCTCAACTCCCAGAATTCCCAGCATGGCTGATTGAGAAATTCTGGGAGCGTGTGTTTTTAAAGATGCCAGGATTGCAAAACCTTGTCGTAGAATAAAAAATCTTGGTGTCAAGATAAGGCAACAAAAGAAAGATTATTGAGTTAAAAAGGACCATTAAACCAGTACAAATAAAAAAGAAAAGTTGCTACCACATATAAACACACTAGCTCGATATCCATGCTTCGCTACGAAACTATGTGATGGGGCTTCGTTTTTGGGGAGGAAAATAAGGGGGGAAAATTGTGCCTCTGCCTAACAGCATCCATTGGTAATCATCTGGCCAGCATCCTGTCAGTGTGTGAGAGTTGAGGGCTGTTTGGAAACTGAAACATGGAAACTTAAACTGTATTTGCTGTGTGAGCAAGGAGACAGCAAGGAGCCTAGGCGTGGCTTAGCTCAACTGTTCTGTACTAAAGCTGGTTTGCTGCTCTAAAACTGAAATTCCTCTCCTCTGCTTGTGTATTGCATTTGGAACAGATTTCTTTTCATGTGGGAAGGGGGAATAGAATATTAGCATCAGAGCATATTAATAATAATGTACAAAATACTAATGTTCTGATGGTCATTTTGAAAAATCCTTTCTTAGTGAGCATCTAGAAGCCAAGAGGAACATATGTGCCAAATTTCAAGTTTGTAGACTTTACGGTTCTGGAGATTTTGTGATGATACATGAGTGGTATTTATATAGATAAGATATGTAATCATATAGAGAAATGCATAAATATATATAGTTTCCCTGGCCAAAATTACTTATTCAAATAAAGGTAATTTATTATGGACAATAAATGATGACCAGATTTGGATGAATTTTTTCTTAGAATATTTCAAAGCTCTTTATTTTTCACCTATAACGATTTTCCATACCTTTATATAATACTCATCCAAAGAAATGTTATTTTCTGGTGTTTTACACCATCAACTTGGCAGCTAGCACAGGAACTGAATCAGTTCCTTATATTGCATTAATTTATATGTGCTAGAAAAAAAAACGAACAGCAGGAATCATTATGAACGATTGGTGATTTTTCCAATTTCTTCAAAAACTTTCAACTACAAAATACTAATTAGACATTGCTACCAAAAATAGTAATATGTGCCAATTTGTTTACAATCCAACCAGTACAATCTGGAAATATTACAATTAATGTTAAAATGTTACGAAAAGTGTAATACTGCCTATGGATTATCTTTCAGTCACTTCTTAATGAATTGATGAAATACATTTAAAATAAATTAATGCTCCAAAGTGTTCCAGTGAGTTTTTTGCAAGTTCAAAACCCAGCGTTTTCCTCAAAATAATTTTACATGTTCAAGAGAAGCTGTTACGTTTAATATAAGTATTTGATGTAACATTAATGAAATACAAGTGAAGTAAATATATACCATGCTTCAAGCTACTCTTGCTTTTAATTAAAGACACCTGGATACTTTACAAAAGATTGATTGGGTTTGATTCATTTGAAACCAGGTTGGTACTTGTGGTATTTTTTTTTTTGCAAAATATATTTAGAATTTGAAGGGTTTCCAAAAATCTATAATTAAATCTCTAATTCTTTGTAATCCTCCTGATTCCTATTGCTTACGCTGTGCAAATTTATCCTTGTGCTTAAAAAAAGAATACTGGAAAATGGTAGGAAAGGTGTTAGCAGCAGACTAGCGTTTGCCCCAATGCATATTATTCAGATGCTTAAATGTAAATGCAGATGTCAGAATGCAAATACAATACAGGAAGTGGGTCAGATAGGAAGCTATCAAGGGCTATATGCACATAATGCATATTTGTCAAAGGTACTTCAGTACGATGTATGAACTCAGAAGATTGCTATAATTGAGCCAAGATGATGTGAAAAAGATTGAAAGAAATACACAGTTACTCTGGTTAGTTGCTACTAAAGCTGGCACTCTGTTTACTCAGACTGTGTACCTTTGATTTCAGCACTGGGCAATGTAGATGAGCCCAATTGCTTTATATCTCACTTGAAAATTTCCTAAAAGCCGTGGTTTATTGGAGTTTAGCTGCAAGATTAATGGAGCTTGATCTGATCTTGCAAAATAATCCAAAACTGATCACGGGGTGGACGATGCTGTTAATACTTTCTACCAATGCCTCTTCAAGAACCTTCCTGATCTCCAGCAGTGCAGAGGGGAGGCCTTTTAATTTATTTTTATTTATACGTTTATTTAAAACGTGCATATAGCTGTTTATCTTATATTGAACTCTGGGCTGCTCCCAATCAACAATTAATAATAAAACAACATAATATCTTATTAAATCTATTAAAACCATGTGCATTTAAAAACTTGCCGCCAAAGTTAAACTTCCATCATACAGTTCCTCATTAAATCTCTCACCCACCTTTCCATATGCAGCATTTGGGGAGAAACCCAATTTTTCAAAGCTTTTCGGAAGGCTAGGACAATAGAGGCCTGCCAAACATCAGGGGGGAAGAATAATCCACAGGGCAGGGGCTCTCATGGAAAAGGCAAATTTCCTGGCTCCCAAAATATGGAAATATTTAGCAGAAGCGTGCCCATTCTATCTTATTTTATTTATTTATTTAGAAAATGTATACTGCGGCCTACTCGCACATAGCAACTCAAGGTGGCTTACAAGGAGCTTACCTGGTAGGACAGGTAGATGTTCTTAGGGAAACTACACAAGAAAAGATTACCTGGCCCTGTGCCATACGGGGCTTTAGAGGTAATAGCACCTTGAATTGCACCAGTGGTGGGATTCAAATTATTTTACTACCGGTTCTGTGGGCATGGCTTGGTGAGTGTGGCAGGGGAAGGATACTATAAAATGTCCCGTAAGAGGTGGTATTTGCCGGTTCTCTGAACTACTCAAAATTTCCACTACCAGTTCTCCAGAACTGGTCAGAACCTGCTGAATACCACCTCTGAATTGCACCCAGAAAAAAAACTGGGATCCAATGCATCTCACCCAACAGAGGTGTTACATGGGTAAACCTGGGCATATGTCACTGTGTTGGGGTGGAGTTCCTAAATATTTACAGTCAATCAGTTCATTGTTTTGACTGGCAGTCATAACAAATAAGATAAAACCTGCATAGAAGTGGCCAGACAGTTATAAAATACATTGAAATGTACAAAAATCAGGAAGAACATTAAGCCAGTGTTATTGCAGCAAATATGTCCTTAAGTAAAGTATTGGAATTTTTTTTCTTTTTCTCCCAGGTTGGCACTGTATGTGTATGAATATCTCCTTCATGTTGGGGCTCAGAAATCTGCACAGACTTTCCTCTCCGAGGTAAGAATAGGAACTAAAGTTTGGGGGAGGTGAGCAGAGGGAGGAATATCCATTGACGCGCACCTCACTTTAGATGTGATCATTGTGGATAGGATATATTTTCTTTAAAATTGGAGGTTCTGGAGAGAGGATTCTAATAAACGACAAAAAAACACAAAGTTTTGGAAGTGCTTTGTTCCAGGCAAGGTTTGTAATCTCTTTTTAGTAATATTTTTCAACACAGACCAGAGGTCCTCATACTGTAATGTGATTTGTAGTAATTAAAATAAAATTTTAAGTTTCCCTTGAGTGGTTTTCTTAGCAGCATTAATGAAATGGTTTGACACTGCCTTCTTTGGGAATGTTGCTTTGACATTTCAATTTAGCTCTCAGTGTTATATTGCCTGGTGGTCTCCCATCCATTACTAAATAAGTCAGAACTTTAACTGTCAAGGTGTTAAGCCAGGTGCGGCCAATTAGTAGGCTAATTTAAACATATGTTTCTATTTTCTTATTTTTTCCTAGTTACATATTTTTATTCAAGCAATTCTTTTGTGTCTTCAAAGCATCCCTTGGGAATAGGGGAAAGACAAATCCGAATAAAATGTTAAAACAGAAATGTATAATTGAAAGGTACCAGATGACAGAGCTGGGTAAAATGAATTGTTCTTCTGTTTGCTCCAATTTATCTTTTTGATTCAAGTCTCTCAGAAACACAGTTCGCACACTATTACTACTGCAAAATCTTAATAACACTGAATTTGCAATCCAAAGAGTAATCCCCTTGAGCAAAGAGTAAATTCGCAAATAAATTGGGAGAAAAAAAATATATTCCTTGGGAATCTTAATGCAGTGATAGCTTAAGAATGTCGTTAGTGATTCAAAGGAAAGAATTCTCCAAGGACAGAAGTCTGATTTGGTGCCTCCACGCCCACTCTCTTGCGAACAAGATGCCAGAGTTTATCATTTTAAAGAACAGAAGAATAGTTCTCTTGGATCAAGCCTATGTCCATTGTAGTCCTGCACTGTGTTTCCCGTAGAGGCCAACTAGATGCATCTTTGGTGCTCCTATGCAGAAGATGGAGACATATTTCTCGCACTGTTTTTTGTTTTTTACAAAAGGAGTTTGGAGACATATTTTCTCCCAACCAGGAGAGAACATTGAGTGATTAAAGAGCCTGTCCTCCATTAATTTATTCAATCTAAATTGTTAACAGATAATCAGAGTTGGAAGGGACCTTGTAGATCATCTAGTCCACACACCCCCACCCAAGCGGGAGACCCTACACTGTTTCTGACAAATGGCAGTCCAATCTCTTCTTGAAAGTCTCAAGTGATGGCGCTCCCACAACTTCCGAGGGCAAGCTGTTCCATTGGTTGATTGTTCTCACTGTCAGAAAGTTTCTCCTTATTTCCAGGTTAAATCTCTCCTTGTTCAGTTTCCATCCATTATTCCTTGTCTGGCCTATAGGCGCTTTAGAAAATAGCTTCACCCCTTCCTCCCTGTGGCAGCCCCTCAAATATTGGAAAACCGCTATCATGTCTCCCCTGGTCCTTCTTTTTACTAGACTAGCCAAGCCCAGTTCCTGCAACTGTTCGTTGTATGTTTTAGTCTCCAGTCCCCTAATCATCCTGGTTGCTCTTCTCTGTACTTTTTCTAGAGTCTCAACATCTTTTTTATAATGTGGTGACCAAAACTGGATGCAGTACTCTAGGTGTGGTCTTACTAAGGCTTTATAGCAGGGGTGGACAAACTTTTTGGCTCGGGGGCCTCATTGACTTTTAAAATTTGACAGATGGGCCACCACCTGGTGTTGAAATGCCTGTCATTACAAATCAAATCAAATGAATGCAATCATTCAATCATTCACATCAAACCTTAATTCTGTACCAATCTTTGGCGGGCCGGATTAAAAAGACCAACGGGCCGGATGTGGCCCACGGGCCGTAGTTTGCCCACCCCTGCTTTATAGAGTGGTATTAGTACTTCCCTTGATCTTGACTGTATCCCTCTGTTAATACAATTTAGGATTGCATTAGCTTTTTTGGCTGCTGCTGCACACTGCTGGCTCATACTTAGCTGGTTGTCCACTAAGACTCCAAGATCCCTCTCACAGTTACTGCTATTAAGCCTGGTTTCACCCAGTCTGTATGTGTACTTTTGGTTTTTCTTGCCTAAGTGTAGAACTTTACTTTTCTCTACATTGAGTTTCATTTTGTTAGATACGGTCCAGTGTTCTAGTCTGTCAAGATCCATCTGGATCTTGAGCCTATCTTCTTGGGTGTTAGCTATTCCTGCCAGCTTTGTATCATCTGCAAATTTGGTAAGTTCCCCTTCTATTCCTTCATCTAAGTTGTTAATGAAGATATTGAAGAGTACTGGGCCTAAGATGGAACCTTGTGGCACCCCACTGCTTACTTCCCTCCATGTAGACTTAGACCCATTAAGGACTACTCGTTGAGTACGGTTTGCCAGCCAGTTGCAAGTCCATCTAGTGGTGGTCCTATCTATTCCACTTTTTTCTAGCTTACTAAGAAGTAGGTTGTGGTCTACTTTGTCGAATGCCTTGCTGAAATCTAAATATATTATGTCCACAGTATTTTGCTGGTCTACTACTTTAGTCACTGTGTTGAAGAGTGAAATAAGATTGGTTTGGCATGATCTGTTTTTAACAAACCCATGCTGACTGTTAATTATTACTTTACTTGTTTCTAGATGTTGGCAGATCTGTTTTTTATTATCTTTTCCAGTATCTTCCCAGATATTGATGTTAGGCTGATGGGCCAATAGTTTCTTGGGTCTGTTTTTTTTCCTTTTTTGAAGATGGGAACCACATCAGCTCTTTTCCAGTCCTCTGGTAGTTCCCCAGTGCTCCAGGATTTTTGAAAGATATGATGTGCAGTGGTTCTGAGATTACCTCTGCCAGCTTCTTTAAAACTCTGGGATGTAATCCATCAGGCCCCGGTGATTTGTTTTCATCAAGATCAGACAGGTGTTCTCTTACTATTATTTTGCTTATTGTAACTTTTATTTCTGGTCTGTCTTTTACAGTTATGTTTTTGGTGGGTTGAACTATAGTTTCTTTTTGGGTGAAGACAGATGCAAAGAATGAGTTAAGCAGTTCTGCTTTCTCTCTGTTGCCTGATACTTCCTTGCCATCTTCTCTCTTTAGTGGACTGTTTCCTTGATTTTTTTCTTGTTATTTATATGCTGGAAGAAACTTTTTTTTATTATCTTTGACTTTTGTTGCAAGTCTTTGTTCGTTCTGAGCTTTTGTTATCCTGACTTCGTCTTTGCAGATTCTGGCTATCTGCTGACATTCTGCCTTAGTTGTATGTCCTTCTTTCCATTTTTTGTACTTTTCCTTTTTTTCTTTCAATTTGCCAGAGAGATCTTTGTGTAGCCTTGCTGGTTTCTTCTTGGATTTCTTGTTTTTCTTTCTCAGTGGTATTGTGCTGGTCTGGGCTTCTATGATCATACTTTTTAGAGTTTCCCAAGATTCTTGGTTGAATCATGAAGGAGAGGTTGAATCTCTCCTTGTTCGGTTTCCACCCATTATTCTTTGTCTGGCCTTCAGGTCACCTCCACTATGATGCTTCCCCATTGGCAGAGCCAGGTCTTTACGCCCTTGTGAAAAGTAAGGAAAGATGGGCCCAACCTCACATGGGAGGAAGCTGGGGATGGGTGGGGGGGGGCAACAAGATGTTCCAAAGGTCAGCTGCAACAATAGAGATGACCTTTCTCCTGGATCCCGACAGGTAGAACAATCAGGCTGATGGGGCCTGTAGAATGCCTCCTCTGCTGGCACAGGTGAGGCAGGCCAATTCCAATGGGATGAGACCAGCCTGGGAGCTCATCCGGGCATTTGGTATATCTGAGCTGCATTCCAAACAGCAGAACCACTACTTTTAGATCTCCACAGATATTCCAGTTGCGCTTGGTGTACTGGATGTGTTTCAACAGCAGTTCCATGTTTTCGTATGTTTCTTTCACGTGTGCAGCATAGTTAACTGGCACTAAAGGCCATTGTGTAAAAACAGAACATTTCCATAAAGTGGTACCTGATAGTTTAAATCATACATGACTTTTGTGTTTAGCTGCCTAAAATCTATAAGATACATCCAAAGGTGTTTGGGAAGCAATTTTTTTATGGTCCAGTTGAACTCTGGGTGTTGTAGTTCTGCCCCTTTTGGAAGTGGTAAATTGAGGAAAGCTGGTCTTGCCTCTTTAACTGGTACTTTATTACTTCTCCCCAGATCCGGTGGGAAAAGAACATTACCCTGGGAGAACCACCTGGCTTCCTTCACTCCTGGTGGTGGTGAGTAGCATCCACAGTGTTCTCAATGGGACGGTGGGTGGAATGCATTGTCTAGATCAATCTTTTTCTACCTTGCAACTTTAGGATGGGTGGACTTCAATTCCGGGACACAAAAGTCCACACATCTTAGAGTTGCCAAAGTTAAGGGAGGTTAGTCTAGTACATGGGTGTCAAACTCAAGGCCCACGGGCTGAATCCCTCCTGTGGAGTGCCTAGATCTGGCCCACCCTGGAAACAGCGAAGGACCAGCCCACAGAACCTCTGCCAGCAAAAACAAAGCTCGGGAGAGCCATGCGTGGCCCTCCCGAGCTCCATTTTTGGCTGTGACAGCCGACTGCAGTGCCCTGCCAGTGAAAACGGAGCTCGGGAGGGCTGCACGAGCTCTATTTTCGCTGGCAGAGCACTGCAGGAGGCCATCGCAGCCAAAAACGGAGCCTGGGAAGGGTGCCCCTGACACGAGTGATGTCGGCTGGCCACACCCATCCCGGCCTTGCCCACCTGGCCCCCAAGGTCAAACACAACCCTGATGCGGCCTTCAATGAAATCGAATTTGACGCTCCTGGTCTAGGAGATGGATATTCCCTTGATTATTCAGTGTCAGTCTTTCCAAATACACTACTCTACGGGTGTCTGGACATCACCTACCATAATTCCTGGCCAAAACTGTTTGGAGAGCACAGATTCGGGAAGGTGGGTCTGTGAACATAGGAAGCTATTTCCTATCAGCTCAGCTCATCAAATTTGTTATTGGCTCTTCTGAATGATGGAAAATTTCCAGGATCTTGGATCAGAGGAGATTTTTCCATTACACCCTGGTGGAGATCTTTTTAAGGGGATATATGCTGTCAGATATTGAACTCAGAAACTTTCTCAGATAAAGAATCTGTGCACTTACTGAACAAGTTTCCTTTCTTCTTCAGTAACACCATTGGTATTTGAGAACAAGAATTTCCAATTAAAGATCTAGCCATGAACAAATCAACACCAACAGACGTTACTTCGTCTAACCCCCACTCCTTTAACCTCAAACTATCCACTATTGACCTCACCCCATTCCTAAGAGGTCTGTAAGGGGCGTGCACAAGTGCACCGTCATGCCTACTGTCCCAGTCCTATTGTCCCCATTTCTTCGTACCTATTTCCGGTATTCTTACTCATATTTATACTTTTACCTATTATCTTGTAAGTGACAAATCAAATAAATAAAACAAATAAATTCACCCTATCCTGCTTCTCAGAATGCAGTAGCCTCACTTAGTAGCTTCGGTTGGGTCTAGTGACTCCACTGCCAAGTGACACAGTTGTTAAGTGAAATATCACGTGGCTGAGTCAGACTTACAACATCATTTCTGCTGCAATCAATAAGCAAATAATGGTGAATCCTTAAACACAGCATCATGTGACCTGCAACTTATTGCCGGCATCCCCACTGATTTTCTTTGTTGGAAGCCAGCAGTGAAGCTTGCAATTGGCAATCATGTGATTGTGGGGACTCTACAGCGGGTGTAAAATGCACACTGGTTACGCCTGGAGACGTTGTAACAGCTCTTAATTTTGAGGACTGGTCACAAGCCTACTTTTTTCAGCACTGTCCTAATTTCTGACAGTTGCTAAACAAGACAATGGGTAAGAGAGGACTATCTGTATTCTCCGCTGGGCTCAAGAGACAGTTTGCTATACTGTTAAGGTGCTTGGCTACAAAACAGGACACTGAATTTTAGCTCTGCCTTAGGCAGGAAAGCCAGCTGGATGACTTTGGGCCAATTGTTCCCTCTCAACAACTCAGGGGTAGTTGTTGTGGGAAAGACAGGAGGTAGAAGTATTAAGTATGGGGGAGGGAGGGAAGAAAGGAAGGAAGGAAGGAAGGAAGGAAGGAAGGAAGGAAGGAAGGAAGGAAGGAAGGAAGGAAGGAAGGAAGGATCAATCAGCATCCTGAGACAGAGATGCTATTCAGCAGGTTCTGACCAGTTCTGGAGAACCGGTAGCAGAAATTTTGAGTAGTTCGGAGAGCCGGCAAATAACCACCTCTGACTGGAGATTTTACAGTCTTCTTCCCCTGCCACGCCCACCAAGCCACGCCCACAGAACCAGTAGTAAAAAAATTTGAATCCCACCACTGTCCTGAGAGTTATCTGCAATCCCTCAAAAAACAAATATGGAACAGGTTTTAACTTACTAGTCCTTCATGCAGTTTGAAATAGAGCATGTGGGAAAACCTGAGAAGTTGGGGGCGATGGCAGAAAAGGTGGCATCGAGGTGCCAGATTTCATATAACAGAGGAAGCTCATGGAATCTCTCTGTACACAGATACTCGCATCCGGGCCTACCACACCCACCTCTATTTTTTCCTGCCCTTCTGCAGGAGTTTGCTGGCAGAGAAAATAGGGTGGAGAAAGTTCCCGGAAGGTAGAGAAGTTTGGAAGAGGCGTTGACTGGGAAAGGGTGCACGTGTGCACGTCTTTCTTTCTCTCTCTCTCTCTCTCTCTCTCTCTCTCTCTCTGTGTGTGTGTGTGCGCGTGTGTTTTCTGGATTTCTGCTCTTTCAACCCCAACCTTAAAAGTCACCCCCTCCTCCCAATTCTTGTTGTTGGCTTCAGGCACAACTGGAACACATTCAAGAGCTTTCCCCCCTCAGTGCACACTCCTTCCCGGAAACCCCCCCTGCCCCTGTCCGTTGCGGCGTCTGGCTCCAGCTTCTACACATGGATGTGATTTGGAGGAATCCAGAGGCAGAATATTCCAGGGACCTAACTGGGGGTGGCGGCAATGGAGATCTGGCTTGATAAGTGTGTCTCCCCCACCCCTCAACCTTTGGCTCTTATCACAGGGAAAGGGCCTAGGAAAAAAAAGGGAGGAGGGGGGGTGTTTCCCTGTGCAGTGGGAAGAGAGTCTGGAGGGAATGATGGATGAAGTGCTGTACATCGCCCCCCCCTCCCCCGCCCAACTACGCTGACTCCCCCTGCCCCAGTCTCAAAACTTGGCTGGCTCTTCAGTTTTAGACGGATGGGCCTGTTTAGAGCATCTGCCTTCTTCCAACCGCCTTCCCTCTCTCCCTTCCACCACATCCCCTTTTTTTTTTCCAAGGGGCTGATTTTGTTTTATTATGTACGCGATCGTGCTGCAGCTACGTTTTCTACACTTTTTTTTCTCTTTGCATCTTCCCCGTTTTTAAAAAAAGCACATGCACAAATTCCTTTTCTTTGTTTTCCTTCTTCCCTCTTTCCTCTTTCTTTCTTTCTTTCTTTCTTTCTTTCTTTCTTTCTTTCTTTCT